AACCCCAATAAATTCAAATTCTTACAATGTCTGATCCTGATAACTTCTGATCCCAATAATTCTCGATCCTCACAGTACCAGCATTCCTGTCCTAAAAGCACCTGAGCCTAATAATGCCTGATCCCAACACCAGCTCCCTCATCCTAAAGCCCCCAATAACTCCCAATTCTTACAATGCCTGATCTTGATAATTCCTGGTCCTAATAATGTCAGAGTTCCATCCTAATAAAGCCTGATCCTAATAAAATCATGGTGTTTATAACTCCTGATCCTTATAGAACCACCTAATAATGTCTGATCCAAATAACACCAATATCCCAGTCCCAATAACTCCTGATCCTAACAGCACCAACATCCTGATCCAAATAATTCCTGATCCTAACAGTACCAGCATTCCTGTCCTAATAACACCTGAACCTAATAATGCCTGATCCCAGCATCAGCTCCCTCATCCTAAAAACCCCAATAATTCCCAATTCTTATAATGCCTGATCCTGATAACTCCTGACCCTGATAACTCCTGATCCTAACAACACCAACATCCTGATCCCAATAACTCCTGATCCTAACAGTACCAGCATTCCTATCTGAACTGAATAATGCCTGATCCCAACACCAGCTCCCTCATCCCAAAAACCCCAATAATTCCCAATTCTTACAATGCCTCATCCTGATATCTCCCGATCCCAGCAGCCTGCCCTAAATCACCCCGGCGCTAACGATCGCTGTCCTCGGGCAGTGTCTGGTGGCCGCGCTGCTTTGGGCACAGGCTGGCTCCAGGAATAGCTCCAGACCTGATTCTGGTTCCTGTCCCTCTCCTTTATCCCAGCCTGGCACAGCACAAACCCATTTATCCCCCGGGCCACCTCAGGTCAGGCACCCATTGAGCCTCCAGGTTGTGTCAGTGACAGAAATTCCCCCAAAATCCAAGCCCGGAGCCCCTCAAGGCGTTTTTAGTGCGGGGGGAAGGCGGGAGCTGGCGGGGAGCGAAGAACTGGAAGGCAGAATTGTGTTTTCCTTTAAATGTCATGGGTTTTTTTTAAGCTCATTTTTGCACTTGGGTTTGGCGAAGCTGAGAAGACTTAAGTGACAAACCAGCNACGGCCACCAGCACTGTGAGATGGGGCCCTACCTGGAACAGGAGCCTGAGCATCAGGGTGGGAATGTCCCAGCCCCAGGAACCCTGGGGAGATGTTTGGCTTGGGCATCAGGATGGAAATGTCCCCATCCCTGGGGAGATGTCACCTGGCAGGGCCTGAATATCAGGATGGGAATGTCCTCATCCCTGGGGAGATGTCACCAGGCATCAGGATGGGAATGTCCCAGTCCCAGGAGTCCCAGGAGATGTCACCAGGCAGGGTCTGAGCATCAGGATGGCAGTGTCCCCCATCCCTGGGGAGATGTCACCAGGCATCAGGATGGGAATGTCCCCATCCCTGGGGAGATGTCACCTGGCAGGATCTGAATATCAGGATGGGAATGTCCCCATCCTTGGGGAGATGTTACCTGGCATCAGGATGGGAATGTCCCAGTCCCAGGAACCCTGGGGAGATGTTTGGCTTGGGCATCAGGATGGGAATGTCCCAATGCCAGGAGTCCCAGGAGATGTCACCAGGCAGGGCCTGAGCATTAGGGTGGGCATGTCCCCATCCCTGGGGAGATGTCACCAGGCATCAGGATGGAATGTCCCCATCCCTGGGGAGATGTCACCTGGCATCAGGATGGGAATGTCCCAGCCCCAGGAACCCTGGGGAGATGTTTGGCTTGGGCATCAGGATGGGAATGTCCCAATCCCAGGAGTCCCAGGAGATGTCACCAGGCAGGGTCTGAGCATTAGGGTGGGCATGTCCCCATCCCTGGGGAGATGTCACCTGGCAGGGTCTGAATATCAGGATGGGAATGTCCCCATCCTTGGGGAGATGTCACCTGGCATCAGGATGGGAATGTCCCAATCCCAGGAGGCCCAGGAGATGTCACCAGACAGGGCCTGAGCATTAGGGTGGGCATGTCCCCATCCCTGGGGAGATGTCACCAGGCATCAGGATGGGCATGTCCCCATCCCTGGGGAGATGTCACCTGGCAGGGCCTGAGCATCAGGACGGGAATGTCCCCATCCCTGGGGAGATGTCACCTGGCATCAGGATGGGAATGTCCCCATCCTTGGGGAGATATCACCTGGCATCAGGATGGCAGTGTCCCCATCCCTGGGGAGATGTCACCTGGCATCAGGGTGGGAATGTCCCAGTCCCAGGAGCCCTAGGAGCTGTCATCAGGCATCAAGATGGGAATGTCTCCATCCTAGAAGCCCTGGGGAATGCCAGGCCTGAGGATCAGGAGGGGAATGTCCCAATCCCAGGAACCCTGGGAGATGTCACCTGGCATCAGGTTGGGAATGTCCTCATCCCAGGAACACTGGGGGAATGTCACCCGGCACAAATGTCCCCATCCCAGGAGCTCTGGATTAATGTCACCTTGCAGGGACATGAGGATCAGGATGGGAAAGTCCTCATCCCAGAAAACCTGGGGAGATGTCACCTGGCACAAATGTCCCCATCCCAGGAACCTTGTGGGGATGTCACCAGGCAGAGCCTGAGGATCAGCATGGGATTGTCCTCATCCCTGGGGAGATGTCACCTGGCACCAGGATGGGAATGTCCCCATCCCTGGGGAGATGTCACCTGGCACCAGGAGGGGAATGTCCCCATCCCTGGGGAGATGTCGCCTGGCATCAGGATGGGAATGTCCCAGTC